TGGTGGCAGTTTCGGAGCCCCCAACATCGCGGCCGCCGGTCTTTCTCCAATATTTTCCGTCCTGCTCAAGCGCTTCGGGCCTCGTACAACCCTGATTGGATGGGCCGTGTTTACAGCAGTGATAATATCACTTGGCATTATCTTCGTTCGCCCTCGACGTACAAGTAAATCGGAAATGGAGGCTGCAGCTCGACAATCATCGTCTACTACTAGAGTATTCAGAAAGCCAGTGTTTTGGCTCTTTGTTCTTTCGATGACGCTGCAAAGTCTGGCAAACAATTTACCGGCAAACTACCTGCCCAGTTACGCCACGGACCTGGGTGTCTCACCGGAGAAAGGCGCCTTGTTGGTCACATTCCTGTCGCTGTTTGGGATCATCGGTCAAATCTCGCTGGGAGCCTTGACGTAAGTAAAATGGACCTCAAGTCTACGTATGACTCGTTGCTAATAAATAGATACAACAGAGATGCGATCGGACCTTTGATACCCATGCTGCTGAGCACCCTCGTCAGCAGCTTCGCAGTCTTCGTTGTATGGGGATTGGGTATATACTACTGGAATATGGTGATCACTTCGATCCTATTTGGGGCATTTGCCTTTAGCTTCATGGTTCTGCGAAGCCACATGGCGGCAATTGCGGTTGATGATCCCGAGCGGCCGGCCGAGGAACTCTTCGTTTCCGGCATTCTCCTATTTACCAGAGGTGTCATAGGTGTGGCGTCAGGCTACATAGCTGCGGCTGTTCTTCAAAACAGCGAGAGCATTGGATTACAGCCTGGGTACGGCGCTGGAAAGTGGCGATCATTCATCATTCTTCTGGGGACGACAATGACCGCAGCTACCCTAGGAGCCTTTGGTCTATTAAATAAACGGAAGACAGCTTAGGAACTTGCAATTTCCTCCTCAACGATCAATATATCAAATCGATCCAAGCATCAGTAGATATTCTTGAGAGTGGTTTTTGAAGCCTGCCTTCACAATGGGTGCTCATAGGACACAAATCTCATTCCGGTGATTAAATGGATTTGACAGCATATGGGGCAATCGCTCGTACTTCGCCAGATTGGGGAAATGAAATCGCATATTTTCTTTCTGGCACAACTCTCGAAGGTCCTCCCTATGTGTGTCTTTGAACCAAGACGATCGCATACTTCAGATGTCGGTTGCTCATTCACCAAGGTAGTTGAGAATTCAGGTTTGGTTTTTAGAAGACCTTGCAGCTTGGCAATATTTTGGTGAAAATAACCCGAACATATAGCGTTGAGCGTATACTTCTAGTCTACAATTTCAAAGTAGAGATGGTGCCAGTTTCTTTGTTACACTGGCCAGCGCGTCTGTATCTCGGTGGCCATGAATGGAATAGTACTCGCAGTTTTTCACAAGAGTTCCCTTCCCAGTCTCTGCGTCAAAGACGTAGCAGCCATTCTTGACAATATTGGGCGGCGTGTAGAGATGGAGCGAGACAGCAAAATCATTGCTGTTGTTCCACATCTTGTGCACACCCTGGTCGTCGCTCATGTAGGCCACATGGTTCTCTGTGTAAACTGATTCCAAAGCCACATGCATGCTATCATTGGTATCATTCAAGGCGGCTGAGTCGGTTCCCCGGTTGGAGTCCTGTGGAAAGTCGTAGCGTGTCTCCGTCAGGCTTCCTTTGAGGATCTTCATCAAGCAGTGCGCGTTGCTATGACTGTGGATGGGGCTTCCCTTTCCGGGTGTCCAGACGAGGACTAACTAAATCCACACAAATTAGAAACAGACGAGCATCTTTCATGATCACAGGTCTTACCAAGTTACTCTTGCCGTTACCCTCATCTACGAGGTTTCGGGTATATGCCATGCCAGGATTGGCAAATGCAAAAGCTCCCCATTCTTTTTCATCGCTGGTATAATTCTTCATGAGATCCATCAACAAGTCAAGGTCGATATCATCACAGGTCAGCCCCGAAGAACCGAGAGCGTCTTTAAGAGCTTTCACAAGCTCATCGAACTTGCCAAGATGTTTGAGGCTAGTTGTGTCTTCAGAATGCGGCATTGTAAAAAGCTTGGACAAGTGTTGACGCCAGTCAAGATCAAGAGGGTGCGTGAAACGGACGAGAAGGCAGCAAATATAATCTTCTGTTTTCAACCTCTGCATTTAGTATATAAGCCATGCTCCCAGATATATTTTGATACCTCGAGATCAAAATAGCCCTAAATGTTACGGAAATTCCAATCTCTATTCATTTCTCGAGTCAGCCTAAGGTAGTTGAGCTGCCTGCTACCGGCCTGTTCTCAGTCGGGGGCTGACGTGCATAATGATGGTGGCAATTCTGTGATTATCCCGAGAATAATATGGTAATCAACTCGCTTCGTTTTCATATTTGAGTCGAGCAGGGAAGCGGAAGTAACCAGTGATGTGAAAGTGATTGCGCCGAGAAGTGGCTATGACTCCATTCCGATCCTTCCCCCACATCCTCACCGGGCCATCCTCTCCCTGCAATGCAACGCTTACTTTCCCGTTCCGCCGCGTTTTTGTCTTAGCGGCGAACGCCTCCCAAACTTTGAATTTGCACTTTCCTTTTCCAGTCATAAGTTTGTCGTGATTGTAAGACAGATGAGCATGCGGATATCGGGTACCGATTGCCGACAGCTTTTGAGGGAGTGAAAGCGCTCCCGTGCGACAGCCGCGTGGGTACTGGAGAATACAAGCTCAACGCTCCCACATAAGAGTCTAGCCCGGGTAAGACACCGCCCCTGCCCACCACCTCGCCGAGCGCTCGCAGCCGCCTTGTTCCGACTTTCAGCCTCGGCTGGACCTTGGCGCCTAGTGATACATGTACGATATTCACCAGACGAGAAGTTGAACATCATAGGCTTGAAGATAAGCCCATAGAGCGTAGGGATTCCCCCAAAAGTTCCGTAATTTAGGCAGTCAGCGGACGCAGCCGTGAGGCGCATTTTGCTAGCACTTACGATCTGAGACAAGGAGCCCGAGAAGGCATCGGAATACATCAAGAGTACATTGTGAAAGAAGGGAAGATGTATCTTATAGCTTGAAGGGGAGACAATATACAAATTCGAGATGGTTGTCATGTCATTGAAATGTATCCAGCTGAGGCCGAGCGAACAAGATCATGGCCTGATTTCAGGTAAGACAAAGTAGATTGGAAGATGCATAGGCATAATTGGTCTCTGTGACGGTTATAGGACCAGCAAGGCGTTCAAATGACGCGTAATCCAGTGTAGCTATACGTAATATCGGAGTTGAGCAAAATTGTCGGCCGCGAAGAAAGATGATCCAAGATTGCGACTCATTATCATATACCTAGTTATATGAACTACCTATCCAGCGAGCCCGCCTACCTTGGAACCTACTCCTCTGCACCGTCAACAGTCGTAGTGCGTTTACAACATCGCACCTGATTCCTCTCACCTCTTCAAGATGACCGTGGCTGTTTCAAAAAAGATGGATGGTGCTGCTGCCCCTTATGCACCGATTGCGAACCTAGATACCGTGGTTTTTTCCAAAGTACTAGACCGCGACCCAGCGACCATTGACAAGATTATCTCTGCCTGCGAGAATGTTGGCTTCTTCTACTTGGACATTTCGGACCAGTATTCTGCTACAATGCTAGAGAACCTTGACAGGTTGAACATTGTCATGAAGGACTGGTTCGACCAGCCAACAGCCGCGAAGCGCAAAGAGCTGGCTATCAGCATGGCATCTCATGGGTTTGTCAAAGCCGCCCTTCTAAGCTAAGTGCCCGTTGATTTGCTTGCTGAAGCTAATTAAAATGTTGCCCTTAGATACAAGCCAATCGGTTCACAGGCTGGGACGCACGGAGGTCGAGATGGCTGGGAAGTTCTTAAGGTAAGTATCGGTAGGACATGTGGTCACAGACAACGACGATTCTAACAATTGTACAGACGGGTAGCTTTGAACTGGCCGGTCGATGGGGCTTACCGCCAGTGGTAGAAGACAACCTTCAGATATTCACCTCTTTCCAGAGCCAGTGTCACTACATTACTCGAGTGCTCCTTGACCGTATCTCGAACGCCCTGGGGCTGAAGGGAGCGCAGAGCCTCAACCACTTCCACAGAAGCGACTGCCCCTCCAAGAGTGCCCTTGCATTCCTGCATTATATTCCCATGGATCCAACTGGAGGTTATGCCGGACATAATGTTCACACAGACTATGGCACCTTGACACTTGTCTTTGCGCCCCAGTGGGGTTTGCAAGTCCTTTCAACTCCCGAAATATCCTCACCGTCCTCAGCCTCCTCCTCGGCGTCCCACGATTCAGACGAAAGCCTCGATAGTGGCTACCACAGAGGACATAGTCAGGGCCACGCCAACAATGAGCCCAAGAAAGAAAAGGCGGAAACACCCATGGAGTGGCAGTATGTCGAGCCACGTCCCGGCTGCGCGGTGGTCAATGTGGCTGATGTGCTACGGTTCTTGACGCGCGATAGACTGAAGTCGGCAGTGCATCGGGTCCTTCCGTTGCCCGATGTGGATCGCTATTCTGTCACCTACTTCCTAAGACCTAGTGATGATGTTGAGTTTATCGATGGAGAAGGTCGGCTGACAAATGTCATGGATTGGTACGACCGCAAGAATAACATGTATGAGGCTTCTTATGGGAATCAGGATCGGTCTTTGCTCATTGGCGGGTTGTATAAGGAGGTGTAATGTTTCTTTAGAAGGATTGTTCTCTGTTCGACTTCACAGCTTCCCGAACGGGTATGTACCAAGTACGTACTTGTGTCAAAGTTGTGCTTCTTCTTTGCAATCTTCTGTTCGCTCTCTCCGTAGCCTCAGGTCATCTAACTTGACTGTATGTTCTCATCAATACAGTAATTGATGGTTGTCGTCAAGTAGAAGCTTGCATGCCAAACACCTTGGTACCAATCATCATCTTAATGACATATATACACCTGACATAAGTACCAGAATACTCCATGGTGAAACAAGTAGTCCTATTTGACCTCTTGGAGCCTGACCAGGCGGCATCCATGCTACCCCGAAGGTACGTGTGCATGAAGCTTACGAAGTTCGACAGCTTCCTGGCCCTCGGCTCGATATCGATCATCCGCTTCCGTTCCTGGCTTGAAGATAGGAAGAATCACTGTCTCGCTATCAAGATCGCTGTTGATACTTGTTGCTCGTACATTCGAGAGGTTGGCACTCTGAAAGACTCCGTCGGATTTTACGTAGTGTGCAGCAGAGGGATGGTAGGATGCAAATGATTTTGCAACATCCCGTATCAGTACTCTCAGTACCGGTATGGAGGCTGCAACAATCGTCGCATTGGGTTCTGCGTGAATCCAAATGCTCAAGACGGCAAGCCGGCGAGAAACTGCGAGAGATAGCTTTGTCAATATCCACTTGCGACTCAAGTTAAGACACATAGGAACAAAACTGACACTCAGTTCCGACAACTCTCGTGACTTCAAGAGCTTCCACAGCTTTGAGAACAGCAACGATTCCTGCCCTACCATTGTAATCAGTGACCCTGAAGATAAGGTAGGTGCCCCGAGTAGTTTGGCAGACTTGTTGAGGCAAAGAATGAGTGGTTATCTCACTTACAGCACACCGATACTCATAGCAATCGCGACGCCGGCTTTCTCCCGTTTGACCATTTGTAAGTCCCATACCGAGTAAATTGGAATCAGAGCTAGACCGAAATCTGTCACCGCGGAGACAACTATTCCCAATAAGACGTTAGACCAAGACAAGCCCAGCTTCAGTAGAAGTACTCACTAGACCCGATCATATTCATCCAGATGCCGCTGTTGATTGACCAGCACGAACCAAGTGAGAACGCGCTCTCAGCTCCACAAGTCGGTCTCCAGACCAAAATTGTGTGCACAAGGCACATTATGTCTGTCATGCAAGTGATCAGGATAATCACAGGACGCAACCATCCTGTCGTGAATCTCAGCAGGGTGAGGGCGAATGAGGTCTTGCTGAAAGCTAGGGAAAGCTTCATTGCATTGTCGGATGCCAAGTTTGCGGGGGTAATGATGGGCCCTGACAGAGTGGTAACTAGGTAACCAGATCCGAAAACGACTGTTTGCAGTGAGACCCCAATCATTAGGAACATCCATCCTATAATAAGGAGATAATCGTCCCACCACATTATTTTAGTACGAACTGATCTATAGTAGATTTAGAGCACGAGAAAGATGGTGGACGTTGATGCCATTACCTCTATGTCGTAGAGTCACTATAGGGGTATCGACGTATATAAAGAGAACGGTTATTTATTAAAAATAGGAAATAAGTATAAAGCTCGCTCTAATATAGAGGGTATAAATAAAGTAAGCTTTAGTAATTATATAACTAAGGTTATATAATATATAATAAGGTTATAAATAGTTAAAGTTATTATAATATACCCCCCTAAACGAATATATATTTAAAAAAAAGCGCGCCTAACTACCCGTATTATTATAAAAAGGTTTATTAAAAATAGAAAATTAAATACTAATATATAAAAATCTATTTATAAAAAGAATTATAATATAAATCGGTTTATACGTAAAGTTATAAATAAGGGGTAAATCGGCTATAAATTAACCTCTATATTTATTATTATAAGTAATTTTAAAACTATATTATTAATAAAAAGTACGATTAATAAACGGCCTTTTATTAGCTAAATAATTAATTTATAAGTTAAGGGTAATAAATATATAAATCTCTTATTATTACTTATAGTACCGACTTTTTTTCTCTTTTTAACTTATATTTATATTATTATTATACGTATATATTTTTATTTTTCGTTTCCGTATCTACGTTCTTATATATATATATTATTAAAAAAAAAGATTTTAATTAATAACATTATTTTATTTAAATATTATTAAAATAATTAGTTAAAAACTATACTTATATTATTATAATATAAGAGGTTAAGAAGTATAAATACGAGGCTATAGTTTTAAAAGAGAATAATAGCTCCCCTAGCCCCTCTTACGAGCCTAAGATAAGTAAATAATATTCCTTCGTTTTATATTTTAGTTATAATATAGCCTTATTTATTTAATCTTAATTTAACTACTTTATTTAATAAGTAATAGCCTTATAGCTAAACGAGTTATTTAGGAAAGTAATAAAAATAAAAAGGGTTTATAACTCCCTCTTTTACTCTTTTTTAAAAATTAAAAAAACTTCCTCGTTTTTTAAAAAGATAGTATAAATAAGGAAAATTTATAGCCCCCTCTCTTACTTTTTTTTAAATAAAAAAAAATAACGATTTTCTTTAAGAGGATTAGAAAAATAAAATAAGTTTAGAACCCCCTCCCTTACTTCCCCCTAGAGGGTATAAAAAAGTTAACTATATATATAATACCTTTTTATTTATTATTATTTATAAAACTAATTCTTAATAATAGACTTTTTTAGTACTATCCTTAATATTAAGGTTTAATACGAGCTAGTACTTTTACCCCTATCTAGTCTTAAATACCTTAAGTATATTAAAAATACTTTTAATAACTATTTAAATAGTATATACCTTTTAAATTTATATATTAATAATAAATATTAATATTACTAAATTTATAAAAAGTTAGGTTATACCCCTATTTTTAAAGAGTATATATAGTTTTTTAAATATAAAGTTCTTATATTTTAAATAAGAAGTAATAAAAAAGTTAGTAATAGCCGTAGCTATTAATATAAAACTACTTATATTTTATAAAATATATTTTAAGCCGTCCTCGTTCTATTTATTATTTATAATTTAATATATAATCCCTAATTTATATAATAATAGCGTTATATAAGGCTCTTAAGTATAATAATTTCTTAAATAAGAATAAGGGTAAGGGGGTTTATATAAATAAAGCCCTAATAAAAGAGGTATTTATAAATACTTTTTTTATATTAAAAACGTTATTAAAAAAACTTATTAAGGACGTAATAGTATTAGTTATTTTATTTATAAAAATAGATAATATCCGAATTAGAATTAATATTCTTATTAGTTTATATATCCTTTTGGGTATATAGCCCGTGTTTAAATCCCTTTTAAATAAATATATATTTACTTTTTTAAGTAAATAACCTCTTCTTAAGTAACCTAATAAGGTTACTAAAATAACTTTATACTCCTTAGCTATAAGCTACGTTTTTTAATTAAAAACTAGGCTCCCCCGGGCCGTTTTATTACTTTTTAAACGTCCCCTAGTTTAGTATAATTATTTTTTATATATTTTTTATATTTAAGAGTAATATAAAATACTTAAATTTCGCTCTAAAAAAGTTCTTTATAAAACCGTTAGTTAGTATTTTATTTATTAGTATATAAACTATTTAAAATAAGCCTTTTAAATACTCTTATTATAATTATATATTTTAAATATTAATATAGTATAAGTAAGTTAAAATACGTTCCTTTTTTTTTATTATAAGTTTAATTATTTAATAATTATTATAGTATACTTTTTATATATTACTAAGCTCGAGCAAAATATTTTTAAAAAAGCGTTTAAGAGTAAGTATTCTTTTAGTTATATTCTCTAAGTTTAATAATTCGGCCTCTGTAATTAATATAGTTATTATATTTTAACAAACTACTTTTTACTAAATAAAGCTATTAAAAAGAGAAATTATAAAACTTTATAAAGATTTTTAGGTTTTTTTATTATTTATAAATAAAGCGTTATTTATAATTAGTAATACTTAGTTACTCCCTAAAATCCTAAAATATATTATTAAATATTATATATAAAAAAGGTATTATATAACTTAATTTATAATAAAATAATATTAATAAAACGAGTTTATTAAGAATTAAAAGAGTAGAGCGTATATAAAAGCGACGTTAAGTTAAATTATAATTACTATATATAATATCGATCTAACCTTTTTTGAAAAAAACTTAGTCTTATTTAGGGATATAATCCTTAAGTTCTTTTTAATTAGAACTATTAATAATAGGGTTATAGGGGTAATAAAGTTAGTAAGATCGAACTTCTTAATTATTTTTTTAAAATATTAATTATAAGCTAAATAGATCTTCTTATTTAATTAATTACGAACAACCCTTATCTTAAAATACTACGAAACCAATCCCTAGTTTTTTATTTTATACTTCTTTTTAAATCCTTTAATTACTTAACTAGCTTCGTAAATATAGTTTTTATAATAAAAAACGAGGATATTATTTATATAAAAGAGAACTAGGACCTTTTTAATAAAATTTTAAAATAAGTACGGGTCCTCGTTTATAAATAAGAGACTTAAACTTTTAAAAATTAATACTAGCTCTTTATATTATAATAATAGAGCGTTATAAGTACTATATAGGGCCTACTTAGGTTCTATATATATTCTTAGCTTATAAAAGTTATTTAAAAACTTATAAATAATAAAAAGGTTATTTAGTTTTTTAATTATATTTAAAAAGGCGTTTATAATATTATATTGATAAATTTCTAAATCGAATTAAGTAATAATAGCTATAACTACCTTAAACGTTTTAATAATTAGTATTATTATATAAGTCTTTTTTAAAGAGTATTATTTTTAAAAATCCCCCCTAATATAAATTCTCGCTTTATAGTAATTAAAATAATTATTATTATTAAGTTTATAATTAAATATTTATTTAAAAAGTATCGGTTTAGAAATAACTAACGCCTTACTAACTACTTTTTAAGTATTTATTTTTTTAATTCTTAAATTTCTAACCGTACTATTTTTATAAATTAACTTTTTAAAAATTTTAGTATTTTAAAAATATCCTTTTATTTTTTTAAAAGGGTAATTAATTAATTTATATAAATTCGGTTAAATTAGACCGTAGTTAGTAAAACGTATTTTATTTTACTAATTACGGTATAAATATAATAATATAGTATTTAATACCCCTAAGTTATTTTATTAACCGCTTTTTACTAATTAAGTATATATATATTAAAAAAGGAGTCCTAATCTTTTTTTATTTAAATATAAAAAGAGTATTACTTAAATCGCTCTTATTAACTCGGGTTTTAAATAAATACTTTTAGTAATTAGTTTTTTAATTTCTAGCTTTATTTAATATACTTATCCTCTTTTGAATTATATAAATTAATTATATTAAAGTTATTAACTAGGTCGTTTATTACTCTTATTTCTTAATATAAGTTTATTTATTAAAGGGGTTCGTTAGGGTCTAATTAAATAAAAAGATCTTTTTTATAAGAGCTTTAAGAAGTTTTTATTTCTATTTATATATATATTACGTTTTTAATCTTTTTAATAAGAGGATTAACTTCTCTTATAGCCTCGTTTATTAACTTAGTTAGTTAAGTAAAGTTTATTTTTAACTCTAGATTTTTAAAATTTAAAATTAATTTAGAGATAAGTAATTACTTATTTTATTTATTTAAAAACGAACTAAGCTTATTTATAGTTTTATTTATTTTTTATAAAACGAGTATAAGTAGTAATAACTACTCTTTATTATTAATTAATACGGTCTCTTTTTTATTTATAATTCTAAGTAATTAGAGCTTAAGTTTAATTATTATAAGTAGTTATTAAATCTTATTTATTACGGCCCTTAACTTAAGTAAATAAATTATAATTTTAGTATTATTTTTTAAATAAAAAGCTATTTTATTAAATATTATATTTTAAGTAATAATAATTTCTAAAAACGAGGGGATCTAGATCTTATATAAGTTATAAGTATTCGTTATATAATTTATAAAGTACTTAATATATCCCCTCTATTCTATTTTAAAACGTTTTTTATTAAATTTTTTTTTATAATCCCTCTTAAAAAAATACGCTCTATAACTATATACGTACGTCTACCCTTAATAAAGATATAAATTATAAGCGAGCTTCGGTATATTTATTAATTATTATTATTTAAAA